AAAAAAAGGTCACTTCATCGTCGCATGCCGCGGGAGTTCCACCTGAACGAATGAAACGGGAAATAAATGGAGTTGTTTTTAATAAAAAGGGGGGCGAAGAGGAAGATGAGGAAGAAAAAAAGATGCTAGTCGATGATCTGATAGAATGGAGAAATGTCGTGATCGCGACTTCTGGTTCGTCCGTTGGAGGGATTCACCGCTTTAGGGGTATATCCCGTACATACGGGACTTCAGGAGGTATATAAGGATATATATAAAGAATAACCAATTTATTAAAGTATATAACTATATATAGTTAAGAGCTTCTCCAGATTCAAGAACTGAGATATCAAGCTCTTAGACCAGCAAAAAGGGGGGACTTTGACAATCTCCACTTACCTCGGGACCCAGTACCTGATTCCAAGTACTCCGTATCGAGGTACTACAATGTACAAATATGTACGAAGTACAATGTTATATAGTTAACTACTCCGTAGAATGTTACAAAATGGGTATGAACTGTAAGAACTGTATTAAAGTGCACGTAAGTGTATTCTATATTCTCCATGATTTGTTTAAGTACATCACGGATGACGCGGACTCAGTCGCAGTAATACCCGTAACCCGTGGACAGACACCCTGAAAGCTTGGCATCGGAAGCAAAATCCCCCCACCCGCACAGTCTAGAAACATTCGATCGTCGTTTTTATGACATATGTTTTATACTAATGTGAATATGGAGTACTTTTTCTTTGCCTTTGAGCGATGATCTGGGACGCATCCTCAACCGTTATACCTCGCACTCGATGCTCCACTCTTTCTTCCCCTAATATGGTATCTTCCGCAATGGTCCGATAGATCTCAGCAAACCCTCCATAAACATCGGCTCCGATCCCATTCCATCCACCCTCCACATCAAACGCCTCCCCAATCCCACGCATTTCATCTTCCCACCGGTATGCCTTGGGACTCATACCAATCACCCCATTCGTCGCAAGTGCCGCAGTACGTGGAGCATACTCCTCCAACAACGTCAGCAATTCCGGCAACATCTCTTCCTTCTGCGCAGTAGAGAACGACAAAATAGACAGCGCGGTGAGACCTTTGGTCAGCGCCGCGAAAGATAGTTTGAGCGTGGATGCGGCGCCAACCCGAGATGAGACAAGCCTTATATTCAGGACGCTGGCTAGTGTCGCAAACCTAGGGGCCAGATCCACCAATCCGGACAGCACCACACTAGGTTTCTTCCAGCTCCCGTCTTGCGTGCTTTGCGTTGGCGGCGGCCCAATGATTCCGCCATCGACGAAGTGGCACCCTCGGCCCTCTTCCGTGGTTGTGGTTGGTTCGCTGAATAGCGTCGCCATCTCCGACACCAGTCGGGCGGGTACTGCGTTGAGCTCCAGGTAGTATAGCTTGGACCTCTTCGGCTTGCTTTCTACGTCCTCTACTGCCTCTCGGAGACTGCCGCTCGGTGGCTGGGCGGATGCGTCGGCGATTCGTCGTGCGGTCGCGAGGGCGTTTCGCGGAGGTACGATCGAAAGTACGTAGTCGGCTTGGATTACTAGTGTTTGGTCCGTGGGAAGGGTTTCGATGCCTGCGGAATGAATTCGGGCCAGTGTGTGCTCACTGGCGACGGTTAGTTTCTCGGGTTGGGTTTCCGTCGCTGGAGTCGTACCTTCTTCCTTCTGCGACCGTGACTACTCGGTAGTCGTGTGCTTTTAGGAGTCGGGCCATACCTAGACCCATGTCTCCGATCGACACAATTCCAATTGTAACGGGTCTCATGATGAGTGAGGTGATTGTCTCCTGAGGTTTTAGGATGGGTAGTAATATTTTTAAGTAAATCAGCACAACACCGAGTACTTGTATCACCACATAACTACTTACTGCGGGGGTAAATTCGCTCCATTTGTCAGCGAGATATGACCTCGAGACTTCCAACCTGCTTGGTTGTGAGTCTGTGTAATATTGTTATCGTTGGGTTATCGCGATTCCCAAATGTGGTATAGAGACTAGAAGGATTTAAGCTTTCCTTCACCTCTTTGCCTTGTCCTTCTAGAAAGCGGCTTCTGAATGATACGTCTATTATTAACCTGAAACGATAACTAATTCGTTGCTTAATTATTGCATGAAGATCAGACAATGGCTTGAAATACCCGCGATCACTTAATATATACAATGCACTTCTATAAGATGGCTAGGCCCCTGTAGATACTTGGTACATCCAGGTACATCCAGGTACATCCAGGTACATCCAGGTACATGTACCTACCAGCCCACAGAATTGTATAGTTAGTTACAAGGTTGTATACAAGGTTCCAGGGGGGTTTGGAATCACGTCATTATACAGTCCTCCTTTATTGGAATCGGGTGAACATACTACACCTAGACGCCTACATGCCTCTTTTGTCTCTTTCGTGATCTCACTCATTCTCTATATGGATGCGTAAGCCCCAAGCAGGCGGCAAGACCTTCTTACCTTCTTTATCAACGAGTCGAGCACTACGAATCCTTCTTTCTCTCCCCTAGTGATCCCCAATGTCTTGGAATCCAAGCTTTGAAGGTGGTGATAACAGATGATCGAATTCCGAAAATCAGCAAAATAAAATATAAGTGATACATTCTCCTAGGACTGTGACCCGTGATCTATGCAAAATAGAGCCCTAATAGACCTTCTACGCCCTAAGGGGTGTGTAGTCGACTATGGGCCTCAGGCAAACGCAACGGGCCTGGCCCGAAGAATAGCACCCTCCCATTGGACGGCGTGGCGGGCGATCACCGGCGGGCCCGAGAAATGCCTTTGCCTTATTGGACAGTGCATCGGCCATCCGGCCCCGAAGTGAAATACTGCCTGACGATTGGCTAGATGATAGGCATAGTAAAATGTTATAGGAGTATATAACCTACTGAGGTTAATTTCTGGTAGTATAACATTAAGTAACTAAGCTCTTTATCTCAATATATCTAATACCTATCCCAATATGAGCAACAAGAGCTCAAGCGACTCCAACGAGGGCTCTCACGAGGGCTCCCACGAGACGAAAGACCTCGAAGCAGCCAAACCCACAACCCTAACCGAGGCCTCTCTCAATGCCGACTCCAACAAAGATCCTGATCTCGTCACATGGAGCGGACCAAATGACCCAGAGAACCCCAAAAACTGGCCTAAGGGCACAAAATGGAAGAATACCTGGGCTATCTCCCTTTTCGTCTTCATCTCACCAGTCTCATCATCCATGATTGCCCCCGCCATGCAAGATCTCGGCAAGGCCCTAGATATGCACTCCGATATCGAGATATACCTATCCATGGCGATTTTCCTTCTAGCCTATTCCATTGGCCCTACATTCTTCGGTCCAGCTTCCGAGCTCTATGGCCGCGTACGTCTGCTCCAGGTTAGCAATGTGTGGTATCTAGCCTGGAATCTGGGATGCGGTTTCGCCCAGACAAAGTCCCAACTCTTTGCTTTTCGTTTTCTTGCCGGTATTGGTGGTAGTGCGCCGCTCGCAATTGGAGGGGGTGCCATTGGGTCAGCGAATAATAGAATCCCCGGTATATCCTACGTGTACTGACCAGAACTTGCAGCGATATGTGGAGCGCCGAAGACCGTGGCAAGGCCATGGGCATCTATACTCTTGGTCCGCTTCTCGGACCTGTCGTTGGACCAATTGCAGGCGGCTTTATAGCCCAGTACTCGACTTGGCGTTGGGTCTTCTGGGCAACCTCTGCCGCCGCCGTCGCGGTCCAGATTGCCGGGTTCTTCTGGTTGCGTGAATGTCACCCGGCTACGCTCCTACGCAAACGATGCGACATCCTCATCCAGAAGACGGGAAACACCAAGCTGCATACCGACGAGAAGGTAGAGACGCTCGCTTACAGACTTCTGCATGCCTTCGAGCGACCGGTGCTTCTGTTTACAACGCAGCCTATCGTCTTTTGCATGGCCATCTACATGGCCTACCTCTTCGGCGTAACGTACCTCATGTTAGCGACGTTCCCGGACATCTGGACAGAGGTCTACCACGAGAGTTCCAGTATTGGCGGACTCAACTATATCTCCATCGCCATTGGGTCATTTGCCGGTCTCTTCATCAATCTCAAGCTGGTCGATCAAATCTACAAGACCCTCAAGGCTCGAAACAACGGCCTCGCTAACCCAGAGTACCGCATGCCGTCGTTAGCTGTGGGTTCCTTCATTAGCACCATCGGTCTGTTCTGGTACTGCTGGAGTATCGGGCATACGCACTGGATCATGCCGAATATCGGGGCATTGCTCTTCACCGCAGGCACGATCTCCTGTTTACAGGGCATGCAGACGTATATCGTCGACAGCTACGAGACCTACGCGGCTAGTGCTATGGCGGCTTGCGCTATTCTGCGCAGTTTGTGTGGGTTCGGGTTCCCGCTCTTCGCGCCGTATATGTATTCGTCTCTCGGCTATGGCTGGGGTACAAGCGTGCTGGCTTTCATCACTATGGCTATTGGCTGGTCGGCACCTTTTGCGTTTTATTTCTTTGGGCCTAAACTTCGTGCTATTTCTAGGTATGCTGCTGGTTAAGTTGGGTGTGGATGTAGCAGATTGTCTAGAATAGCCAAGTTTGTGGGAATTTGGCAGACGACCTTCATTGGTCAGGAAGCCAAACTTTGTTGCCAACGGAAATCGAGTCGGAGTATCGCATTTTGGTAGTCGGATTCTGATGGTGAGATATGCAAGGCGCATCCAACCAATATAGTATGCAGCATGTAACTAATCCACACAAATTAGTAGCCTACATAGTCACGAGGAAATGTTGATAGCTACTTGATCTATAATTTATGGGCGGCACTCCTAACAAACCTTTCGGCCTTAACCTGTGCACACCATGCCGTCCGACCCGTAGAAACACATTTCTGCTTCTCCTCCCCTATTGATTCGGATCCATCGCAGCGATGGCTATAAGCTACCTCGAAAATGTAAACTCTTCCCCTGCCGCGAATCAAAGCCCGGTGGCAGAGGCCACCGACTCAGCCCCAGTTGGCCCTCAACATAGTTGATCCCAGAAGACCCAATCTGAAGGGTCAAACCCGCCATTTAAATCCAGGCTTGTCCCATCAATGTTGCCGAAAACTTCATCATCACGTCCGTCCGCGAGCTTGATGATTTCACCTCTTTCATCCATGCTCTCCTGCTGTCTGTGCCTGCTCACTTTCGGCTCGTGTTGGGCACGCAGTGCGGTTATGAAAGTAGGCTCTGGGGCGGATTGACTTGAGGGATTCGCAAGCCAGGCCTTGAGGGTTAGCTTACCGATTGTGACGTGTAGGGTCCTTCTGCCCTTGACTAGTTCTTCGTGGTTAGAGTACACATCTGCAACCTTGCCCCAGGAAGTATGAAGCTCGTAGGCCGAGTAGAATCCGACATCTGCGATGTTACGTAGAATGCAAAGAAGGGCATCCCACAGGAAGAAAGCTTGTGTTTGCCATCGATACTTCCGCATGCTGGGGTTGCCGTAGATGGCGCTGGTTGTATCGAGGATCCTTGCTGCGAGCGCACAAATATCCCTCCTTTGAGCGTCTGTGATGGCTTGCGTCATCAGCAGCGGCATTCTAGCCCGCAGTCGAACAGCATTGGTCGCAGATCGGACGATTCCCGAGGTGAAAAAGTGCAAGGGGTTTAGGATATCGCAGTACCGAAGGAATTTAGTCTCGATGAGATCTTCGACCTGGTCAATAAGTCTCTCAATGTCCTCTGCGTCCTTAAATTGAACCGTGCCACCAACTTCCTTCAATTTGACGCCAGTTCGGATATAGAAATTGGACAATTCCATCCGAGACAAGCAAAAAATCATTTCTGTGGAGTTTCTCTGTTCGAGGGGCGGCTCCGACATACCGGGGAAAATCTGATCATCGTTGATATTCAATGGTTGCTTAGTATCCCAGCTATTCGGCGATAGTACAATACCAGTGCCTGAAACCTGACTCGCATAACTGTCCAGCGGAAGCAGTTGCCAAAAAAGTCGCCGTCGCATCTGAACCTCAAAGGGTGGTAATCCCAGGGTTTCACCATCACGGTGGAGCCCCATGCGTTGCGCAATGCGAATGGCAATACCCGTCAAAATCCAGAATGTGTCAGAATCGATTTGAGTGCGCATAGCAACGAGAAATAGTGTGTAAGCCTGTAATACCGGCATTGATGTTGTTTTCAGCCACGACGCATTGATAAGTGCTTGGTGTACAGCGGTCCGATATTTCGACATCAAATAGTTCCTCGGTTGGTTAAACTCTTGCACACAGTCAGCGTCCGACATAGAGAACACAGCGAAATAGTATATGACAAAAAGCAGGCATTCGTCGCTCTTCGAGGCCACGGAGGGTTGCTTTGAAACAGCGTCGACCATTTTTGTGACAGTCGGAATATGAAGAACTTTGCACAGAGGCTCCACGTTGTGCACGTACGCATTCCAGAGCTTAGTCGCCTCCTCGTGGCCAGGGTGTTGCCCGGTGATGCTCTGCGTGCTTCCGAGTATGGACCCAGAGATGGTTTGTGCCGCGAGGACGCCCAGAAGACCCGTCGGGGTGCTCTCATCAGCTCTGGTGTCCTCGCGAGGGCTGTCATCCTGGTCGGAATCGGATACTTCACACAGGTCGCCCTCTTCAGCGTCAAGTAGGACACTGTCATGATAGCGAGACTTGCCGTCGGCGGACAGAAATTTTCCCGAGCTGGTGGATTGCGAGTTCGGGTTTGGGGTTGGGTTCCGCGTGCTGGCTGCTGATACCTCCGTCTTTTGGCTGTATGGAGTCGATACAGAGGTTGTATGGAGAAGATTGTTGTCTCGCAATATGCGCTCGTACCGCACTAATCGCTCATGTACATCTTCAAACGAACTTCGCTGTCTCTTTCGCGACGGGGGAGCCTGGTAAACGCACTGGAGCTTTGCTTTTCTGCAGCTCGAACATGCTGACACCGTCCTATCGCATTTGGTTTTCTTGCGCACGCAAGCTTGGCAGTTGAAGCGCACTGCGGTTATATCGGGACCAGAGTCATTTTTTACAGCGATAGATGGTGTCCGAACCGGCGCAGGAGCGATTGGAACTAGGTGCGAGACGACATTATCGACATCCATGACTTGGTAGCACCGATAGCCTCTCGGCGCTTCGCAGTTCTCCAGATGCAGGGTGAAATATGTATGATCCACAACAAGACTTAAGTCTTGTGAGCCATGTCAGGAGAATTGATTTCGCCGCTCCGAGGGATGAAGGCCGTTGCGCCAGATGCAGTGATGTGATGATAGTGGTAATTTAGTGCATCGGCATCCCCCCACCTCCCGAAGACGGTGTGGAGGGTCAGAATGGGGACTCCCAGAGTCCCAGGTACATAGCACTAACCTTGGAAGTCACTATCCCTAGTGGCACTTCTATAGCTACATAATAAACATATTTCTAGTTATGACACATTCTATCCACCCAGTAAGTAACTTACATCGCATGATAGATAGCCTTAAGCCTTGCTAATCCCCTGTCTCTACCCATATATAGGTAGTTATTAGTTCTCTCCTAGCTATATGCCGGAATAGTACCTTGAATACATACAAAAGGACCTTGATCAGGGAGGGGCGCTACACAGGCGTTTCTCACCATGGAAGACATTAAGAACGCTATCATTCACTTGCTATACATAGAAGGTCCTCTGTACAGTTTATGCTTTATACTTCATGGTTGGGCAGATCAATCAGATCAATCAGATCAATCAGATCATGACAGAGACACTCTCGTCATCCTAATCTCGCTATGGTATAAACTTCTTCTCTCACGAGATTTCGCCTGTGCATGGAAGTTCAGGGGTTGGAAGCCCGTGGAGCAATCAAAACCCCACGGGTCGGCCCATCAAAATACCCCGGAGGCAGCACAGAAATAACGGAATTCGGTACTCCCGACATCCGCGTTGATTATTCATCGCATATAATTTTCTCTTTTCCTGAAGATTCTGAACATCTACCTCTTAGGTATAGATAGACATCAAGAAGAGATCGAAATAAGGAATAAAGATCTCCCGCTAGTCCTCGCCATTTCCGCTGGGGCGAATTTTTTTTTTTTTTTTTTGAATGGTCTTGGCATGCACATTCATGACTCCCACGCAATCCACAACCGGCCGCCATCAAGGCAATGAACCAGTCATCTTCCCAGAACTCATTTTCCATGGATTCTGCGATATGGAGAGGACAGCACCTGAGGGTGGGTTTCGCTTGTCATCCCGAGTTCCACTATTCCGGTGGACTCCGGTTTGGGGGAATCCAGCATTGCTGACCGCCATATGACATCTATTTAGGCTTGTGAGATGTGCCATCGAAAAAAGACCAAGTGTGAGGTTCAAGGGACTAGTTCAATATGTATACAATGCATGCGCCGTAATACGCGTTGTGTCTTTCCGGTCCAGCATGAAAAGCGGGATGATTATCAAAGGTACAGTGATATCGATATCCATTACCACTCCCGATCTCATGTTCATCGATCATGGCTAATTCAATCACAGTAATGCCGAGTATGTCAAGTCTTTGAAAGACCGCCTCGTCAGGGTTGAGTCGCTGTTGAGGACGGCAGGCATCTTACAAGAGAGCGATATGAGCCAAGACGACCTTTCCGATGAAGATGATGACGGACTATTTAGTCAAGACCCCTCATCTGCTTCCAGTCCAAAGTCGGATTTCGGGTCGTCTCTTCGCTCAAAGGGTGGCTTCATCGAGGGTACACCCATGTTCCCGGCCGACCAAAGAGACGATTCTCGATATTTCGGTGAGTACGGCTGATATGATGCAAGACCGCCGAGACTAACTCAACGCACAGGGACATCATGCTCACTGTCAATTCTATCGCGAACAGGTATAGAGTGGATTAAGAGCAAAACAGGCGATGTCAGCTTCTTGCGGATTATATCTCCTGAATCCATCCATGAAAATCCATGGAATCAATGGCGACCAGACGTGTTCCACGATCTGTTTGCCTCGGAAGTTTTTAAGCCTTTGCCCTCAAGGTCGGAGGTATTTTCTCTTATGAAAGATTTCTTCCGGACGGCCAACCGTCTGTTTCCTATCTATCTTGAGTCGTCATTCATGAAAATGGTTGAATGGCAATATACGCAGCAAACCTGTGATGACGCTGCCCGTTGGGCCAACATCAACATGGTAATCTGCTTGGCATACGAATATCGATCCTCGAATAGCTCCAAGTCAGAAAAAGACAAGGAAAAATCCGAGTTATACTTCAAAAACGCCATGTCGGTCTTCACGGAATTAGCCTTAAAACGCACCGATCTACTAAGTATACAGGCTTTGCTTAGCATGGTACGTCTCCTGCGCCTTTGGCTCTTATGGAAGCATCTAACAATTTGCTAAGGCGTTCTTCCTTCGGGGGAATTCTGGAACCCAGTCAGCTCTGCCACTCATCACTGCGGCTATGCGGTCCGGTCACCGGATGGGGCTTCATCGAGATATTGCAAGACCGGAGCTTAGTCCGGCTGAGCAAGAGGAGAGAAGGCGTGTTTTTTGGGTTGCGTTTATCATTGATCAAAGGTAAGAGAAGCCCATTCACACATCTTCTCAAGTACTAAAAATAGTGTTCTAGTACATGTCTAAGAATTGGAAACGCCCCATCACAACATCAAGATGATTTCGATGTCCCTCTTCCCGAAGAACTGGAAAGCGATAAGCATGGTGAAACCGCAAGCAACATTCCATTCTTCCGCGAGCTCTGTCGGATGTCGCTTATAAAGAGCCACATCTACAGTCGATTGTACTCTGTTACGGCATTGGAAAAGCCCCCTGTTGAAATTTACAAGACGGTTAAAGAACTATATGCAGAGCTTGAACAATGGAAACGCGAATCCCCAGCTCTCATTGAACAGGAAATGAAACCCACTGAAAGCGACTTCCTGTTTGGCTTTGCCTCTATTGGTCTCCATTTTGTCTATCACAATGCTGTGATCATGATCCACAGGGTACCTGTGTTTCTTAACTACATGATAACCGCCAGAAAGGAACCAGAGAATGTCCAGTCGATCAGCAAAGCACATGCCTCGAGATCAGCAGCCATTTCTACACAGGCTGCCCGAGATACCTTGAAGGTTGTTAATAACATGCCATGGGGAGACATCGCATGGACCTGGTAAGTACCACAGTTTGTTTATAAGTTTCATTTCTCACACTCAAACCTCAGGGCATTACTATACTACGTCTTCCTAGCAGCATCAACATTATTCTCAAATATCCTACGGGATACTCGCCATTCAAGAGTGCAAGCAGACCTTCAATCCCTCAACATGGTCGCAGCATTCTTTGCAAGTCTCGCCCCAGGCGAAGGACCAAATAATTACGCCCGCTTCATGGCCCGAATGAGCGCGACCCTCGAACGCATCGCCAAAGTTGCCATCGCGAAAGATGAGAAAAGAGCCCGTACCCCAGATGAAGAAGACCAAGAATATAAACCAACAGGAGCCAAAAGGCACACCTCTCGGACACAGCCAGCACCACAACACCGAAGGCAGCAACGACGGCACACAACCCTCCGCACAACAATGACCCCCGCCACAGCTCCCAAGTATCCAACATCAAGCACCGCCAACCCCAACAGGATGGACATCAGCATCCCCGAAACTCTGGAAGGCCTTCCGCCAATCAATTCCTCGGGCTACGTCGTCCCCATGAGCCCATTACCAGGCCCAAGCGACAACAGCCAACCCCCAATCCAACCCCCATATCTCGCCAATCCACCCAACACATACTCATCTTCAACCGCATTCCTTCACGAAGCAGGCAACAACACCTTCCACACACCACAAATTCCATCCTGGCAACTATCCCAAGACTTTCCCACATCAACACCCACAGCCCAATCACAAGCCCAAGCCCCAGATTTATCAGGCATGACCCCCAACCCAATAAGCTCCATCAACTCCCCAGACTCCTTCGGCAGCACCGGCAACTCAATACCCGATTTCTTCCAGTACCCAATGGCCGGTGACTGGGGCCACGGCGAAAATGTCTTCCGCGGACTCTTCCCAGAATACACTTTTCCACCTCCCATTCCAACCGGCACTCAGTCTGCAGATGCATATCCTTCCATGCCGATTCTATCGGCTGAGTCTTTTATTCATGGTGCGCCTGCTATTGATGGCCAGACAGCTCAGGCTGGTGGGTTCGATCCTCAGAGCCTGGGGTATGGCTATACGCCACAGGGTCAGGAGGATCCGAATCAGGGCGCTGATTCGGTCTGGCCTAATGGGTTTTTGGGGTTGTTTTAGGGATGGGTTAATCCGGGGTCTTTTTCCGAATTTGTTCTCGTTAGCGTTGCCGTTGCCTTTTTCCTAAGCACACCCTCTCTACTATTCTTCTTTGTATATGCATTAGCCAGGATTCACGAGTGTTCATGTAGCCACTATTAGTGTGGTATAATATAACTAGGTTTTCAGATTTGGGGGATCTCATGTCCACGGGTGTTAGTGAAAATGAATAGGTTGTCGGCAAGTCCTCGTTTCTCACTTGACTGTGTCACAGGGAGGGGAATGAGCACTATGAGATAGTAAGATAATCTAAGATTCTGACTTGAAAATGGAATCAAGGATAGAAAGCGAATTATCAATCAGTGGATATGAAAATAAAGACTAGGTATAAAAGAAAAACGCCTAGCCAGATCCCGAAGTCAAGATATCCCAGTCCCACCCCATTCAACCCAAGAAGAGCATAAAAAAGATTCATCCTGCGCCTTCCTTCCCAAATGCAGACCCAGCGGGTTCAATAACCCAAATCATAAAAAAGCAAATATTCGATAACTAAAACACAGATCCCGTGAGCGTGCGCACTGCCTTACACCACACGCCATTTCCTAGCTGGACATCACCGTCCTTATCCCGACCAAGGCCTTTGCCGAGAATACTTTGCAACTCCCTGTCTGGAAGGCCGGACTTGTTGCCTGTTCCGAATCCATAGACCTTCGTCGCCAGAACATCAATATCAAAGTCCAAGAAACCGATAGAGTTCTCTGCATTGGTTTTATCAATGCGGGTACGGACAGTGAAGTCAACATCGATTCTCTTGGCACTGCTGTTCTTTGAAGCAGCGCCTTTACGGCCAGGTGTAGAGACGGTGGCGTTGCCGAGGAGCGTGCAGCGTGTGCGTAGAGAAAGAGAACCTTGATCGGGCTTCGATAGGGTGAGGCGGGTGACACCGTAGAATTCCAGCATGCGTGCTTCGTTTTCCAGCCCAACCGTGCGGTCCCATGCGCTAGAGATGAAGCGTAAGAGCTGCTTGGGTGCGACAGTGGATTGCTGGATGGCAGCCAGGTGGTGCTGTAGCGAGTGGAGGACCAAAGATGCAATGGGAGAAATGTTGGCATTCCTTTGGGAAGTCAGTTCCATTGGGTAGTTCTTTCCCTCGTCCTGGCCTCTGTTTTTGGAGGCGAAAGCTCCGGGATAGAACTCTAGTTGGAGCTGGTCCCGGTAAGCCATCTTCAATAAAGGTCCCCCGGCATCTGAAGGAGATGAGGCCGAAACGATTGACCAGCCGGTTTGTTCCTGAATTCGTTGGACGGATTCTAGTTTTCCCAAGTCAGTACGCATCCACAGAAAAAGGCTCCATAAGGGAGGTGATGGAGGACGCTCACCCTTCAAGTCGTTGATCTCCCGAGCACTCCAGCCACGGCACTCCTCCTTCACTCGCTCGGCCTCCTGGATTTGAGCGAGGAATTCATCCCGCATTTCGGCTCCAGTCTCGATGAAAGTCGTCTTCTCCTGGACTTCCTCCTGCAACTTCTCAAGTTCCCGTCTCTTGGCTACAATTTCGGAGTCCACCTCAGACAGCTTGCTGCGTGTACTACGCAGCTCATCTTGATCACAGTTCTCCATCTCCTCCACCAACTGTTGTAGGTTTGTTGCCTCTTGGTCGAGAGAGGCATGTTTCTCTACAAGTAGCGGGACGTTCCTGTTAAGCAACTCTTCTCGTTCAGATAGCAGATCGTCGTCTGCTTTCATTTCCTCTACGTGGCGGACGAGCCCTTCTTTCAACCCCTCAAGCAACTTCATCCGCCATTCGTACCATGTGGCCTTACTCAGCAGACGGGCATGGGTCTTGACGTTTCGGAATTGATTGTCCATGATGACTCGGATATCTGGCGGAGCGGTGACGTACTCCTTGAAGAGAGCTGGATTCTCGGCATATGTTTCTGCCTCGATTGAGCGAATCACTTGCCGACCTTCAGAAATATAGGATTTCAACTCCCGACATGACTAGAGACGTGTGAGTAAAAACAAGAGTATCCGGATACAACAAAACTTACATGCTGGTACAGTTCAAGCATTGGCACTGTACAAAAGCCAGCTGCCACACAATCGTCAAATGTTATAGAGCCTGGTTTAGGCATGTTCTCACCAGACCGCCGTGTCAGCTTCTTGGTGGCACTGCCAGGGGCAGTTGTGTGTCGTCTTTTTGTCGTAGTAAGTTCCATGAAATGAATGTTAGTCATTTTCAGGAAGTCCTGTAACTGAATAGGCTCAATTTCCTGAGAGGGGTCTTCGACAGGAGTATTCTCTTCTTCTTCTTCTTCTGGCTGTTGGGGGTCAGAAGCAATATGAAGAGCATCAATCCCATTCTTGAGAGGAGTTGTCGAGGTCTGGGAAGCACTCCGTGGTTGCTGGGAAGGTGTGGTGCTGCCCTTGGGAGGTGATGAGCTAGCCGCTCTACGGACAGGTGAAAGCATCGACCGACGGACATTGCCTTCCCTGAACATCGGTGTTGGCAACTTGACGCCTTTGACCGGGCTGACATTGTGGCCACGCAATCGCTTCGGCGAATTCTCCACTTCATCTTCATCCAAGTCCAGCTCGACGGGGCGCTTGCCCAAAACCCCGCGAGCAGCCCCAACATGGAGACTCTTACGACTGCCAATTCTAGTCTTTTTCGGGCTCAAGTTTGAAATCATATCCTTCAAGCTTGGAGTCACGTCCCGATCTGACTGCAAGCCCGTGATATGGCCATCCTCTCGGAGTTCCTCTTCTTCGCGTTCACGTTCTTCCTCGGCCTGCAGTTGCAGAGGATCCTCGAAGCGCACACCAGATCGGGGCTGTTCTTGCGGAACAAACTTGGGCGTACTATCTCCTAGCGACTGGCGCCTGTCAAGTAATGCCGCTACGCGAGGAGATCCAAGACCTTCTTTGTCAATCCCTAAACCAGAAGAGCGACGGTCCTCGCGTGGCTGTAATTTGAACAGGGGGTCGACTCTCCCGTTGCTATGTTATGCTCGAACAGGCTTTGACGTAGAGACTTGCGCTTATCTGCTGATTGCTGGAGCTCGGGCTGGAAGAGCTTCTTTGGTGAAGCGCTTCTAAAAGTAACATTGCTGGAGGGAGGTGTCTTGCTTGGGGTGGTAGGTTTCGCTTGAGGGGTGGACTGTTTGGGCGGAGTCAATGGCTTCGTGTGTGGTGATCGTTGCCGGCTTGCCGACCCTGGCGTGCCCGACGATCCTGGGGTGGAGCTACGCCGGGGAGGTCTAGCCCGCACGGCTGCCAAACTGGGGCTCCCGTTTTCGGATGCAACAGCAGCAAGTTGATAACGCAGAGGTGATTTGGCAGGAGGCTTGGCAGGAGACTGCCGAACGTTGTCTTGGAAAGGCGAGCTAGCGAGCTGACCCGAGTCTGTTTCGAGCTCCATTATCATTTTCGCGTGCACTTTGTCGTTGGCTTCAATCCCTGACTGTAGGATACCACCAATCGCACCAGTCATCTCCATGTCCATGCCACCGTCAGACTCATTGTCTTGGTCGAAGTTCTCATCAGAGTTGGAGGCCTGAATACGTTGGTTGCCCAAGATTTTGCCAACAGCCGAAGTGAACTCCATCGTCATTCCTTCGTCTTCGTCGCCAATCTCAGAAAACTTTGATGGCGAATCCTCCTCCTGCGCGATCCCGCCGACGACATTGGTCATCTCCATAGTTTGATCTCCGTAGTTTGATTCTTCTGCCACAGACTGGCGACGAGCCGTGCTCTCGCGATGGCCGGGAGGCTTGCCAAGGATGCGTCCTACGGCATTCGTCACGTCCATGCTGAGATCTTCGTCCTCCTCGATATCATCGGATTCTGGCAAACCTTGAGCAGTGGCATCCTTAGATGGGTCAACATTCTCCTCATCATGCCGTGCGCTAATATCTCCCCAATCGAAGCTTTGTCTTTGGCCCTTTTTAATCCACGGCTGGAAAGCACCGGTTATTTCTTGATCCACAATTTCCATTGACATCTCTCCGTCCTCGTCAAGTTCGGTTCCGGCTTCCTGTGCAGCCTGGCGCAGTGCTTCGTTGAGTCTGGCACTAGAGCTAGAGCTAGAAGTTGCATCTGATTGGACACTCATCCCTGAGCGCGCGGTCATATCATCCATGCTCATTGCAGTACTCTCAGCATCAAATCCATCGTCCGAGTCTGAAGAATCACCATCGTCCTCTTCTCCGACCAAGCTTTGAGCGCCGGTGTCTTCGCTCCCTACCGAGCTTCCGCTGAACGGACTGGAAGATAAATCCCGGTCGCCACCCCCAGATGATGAGCGATCTCTTATCTGATCCAGGTCTTGTGTGCGGACAGGGGAGAATCCGAATTCCGACTCTGCTGGCGAAGATGGAGCATCTTTGGTGGGTGAGATAGGCGCGGGTTGGTTCTGGGAGTTTGCGGCAGCAGAGGCACGTCTTGTTGAGTTCGCGGCAGAGGAGGAGGTTGAGTCGTCCGGGATTTCCACCACGTTCCAGGTGTGTAGGGTTGCCTCGGGGGCAAAGGATACTCGGCGATTTGCTGTGCAGATGTGTCAATATTCACATCCATTATGAACTTGAATGAACACACGAACCCATCGATTTCCTCCGCGCTGCTCGTTTCTCTAGAATATTCTGTCGTTCACGATCTTTGCGCTCCTGTTCATCACGCTCCTTGGTTGCAGCCATCTCCTCGCGAATGGCGGAAGTCGCATTAAATGTATCAAACGGGTTCGCCGTGTCGTCATTGTCAATATCTGTCGTGGGAGGTCCTGGTGTCGCTTCAAAGTCAATCAAGAGACCCTCTTTTTCTTGGTCCTTTTGGCTCTGTCCGTCCATCGTGCCGTCATGGGTCTGCTGTTTACTACGAGCTGGTGTACGGCGCGTTTCCTCGAATGACGGGATGTTTCGCACTGGAGAGACAGGGACGGTAGGTTTGAGAATGGACTTTAGTGGAAAGGAAGCCGTAGACTATGGATGTTTGAGTCAGAATTGATTGTTCTGCATATGCGCGCATGGTGTTCGGTTGGTAGCTACCTGGCGGCGATTGCCATTGGAATTCTGGAGGGCATCAAGCCCACCAGGGCCCAAACTCTTACTCCGAGACTTCTTATCCTTCATAGCAGACTTTGTGTTATTCGAAAATGGCTGAGCTGCGCCAATCTCCGTTGTTGTATTCTCCTTGTCCAAACCAGACGTCATCCTAGACCGCGGGACATGAGCGATAGACCTACGAGAGCGTGGCTGTCGCAAAGCCGCGGAATCGGGTCGAGTTGACATTTTCGGCGGTCGAATGGGCACCTTCGCAGATTAATTCAAGATTGCATATTCCATAAATCTGAGCACTAAGGTCTCCAGATCAAACAGGACTGGACCTGTAATCTGCTCCTATCGCACCTGCCCAAAGCGCGTTGCCTCCGCAATCACGTGATGTAAACAAAAGCGCAGAGCCCTAACCCCAATTAGCCTAGTCCCGATTAGGACTAGTGTCGCACACTACGAATTACCAAAGATTCCGACGGGCAACGAATCTTCCTCATCTTCGACAGCCGCCAACCCGACCTTTCTTCGACACCGCTTCCTCGTCGAACAACACCGCAAAAATGGCCACCGAGTTGACCGTCCAGTCGGAGCGCGCTTTCCAGAAGCAGCCTCACATCTTCCTTAACACCAAGGCTAAGGCTTCCTCCAAGAAGACTGCCCAGGGCCGCCGCTGGTACAAGGATGTCGGTCTCGGTTTCCGTACCCCCAAGACCGCCATTGAGGGAACCTACATCGGTATGCACGACCTCCGTTGAGTTTTTATTCGGAAAATGGTGGCGGAATGTATGGGTGGGTGGTCTTTTCAAGGATTCAAAGCGCGAATGGAGGATCGCATGGAGCAATTGAGGGGCCTGGAATCTCTGTCGTTTCCATCTCTCGCCAATATTCGCATTCGGTACTCGAACTTTTGGAACCTCGAAAAGACCACTCATGCCAAAAGATTGCCCGCGAGCACTGAATTATTCATGTGTCAGATTGCTCATTTTTGAACTTTTACAGACAAGAAGTGCCCCTTCACCTCCCAGGTGTCCATCCGTGGCCGTGTCCTCGTCGGCAAAGTCGGTAAGTTGAATCAGAACCGTCTTTTCACAAGGAAAGACGATTTACTAACGAATTATGTACAGTCTCCACCAAGATGCACCGTACCCTCGTCATCCGCCGCGAATACCTGCACTACGTCCCCAAGTACAACCGTTACGAGCGCCGCCACAAGAACCTGTCTGCCCACGTCTCCCCCGCTTTCCGTGTTGAGGAGGGTGACACCGTTACCGTCGGCCAGTGCCGTCCTCTCAGCAAGACTGTACGTTCATCTAGTGATCCATGTCAATTTTCGCCACTGTTGGCAGTCTGCAAACCCACGATCTATTGCACTACTACAACATATCGAATTTTGGCTCCCCATGATGTTTCGCGATGAAATTGATAACTAACCCAAATTTCTATAGGTTCGCTTCAACGTGTTGAAGGTTCACGCCAAGACCTCCCGCGCTGTCAAGTCTTTCTCCAAGTTCTAGGTTAATAAACCGGGTGTTTTGAAGGCGAAGGAAGCGGTATGGACTGGATATACGGGAAGTTCTTGGATGGGGGTCGGGATAGTTTATGAGTTTCCATGTCCCAGATACCTCGCTGATGAATGTGTATCCACGCAAAAATCAAAATGATTTGTTCGGCCCTCCTGTGATGGAAACTGTACAACAACTCTGGTACAAGGCAAGATTGACCATGCATGGCAATCTGGACGGAGCCTATCAATGCGCATCTCGAGTTATCTTCTCGCTTTTTTAAGTCTAACATTGATACAGTAGGACCTTCGTACATACTCAGGGGAAGGGTTGTCCAGCTGTCTGTAGCCGTGGTTTTGATCTCATTTTGGGCTATCTTACCTAGTCAGGTTGAATCATACCTCCTAGATGCTCAGGAAGGGAAAATACCACTTCATTTGCTTTATTTGTGAATGCATGTATGTTGTAGATAATTCTTACGGGCATTACATACGTTCGAGCAGACAGCATTGTCACAAAGTTTTCATTCAACTAATATCACAAAGGCACATTGGCATATTAACATATTAGGGCTTCCTCATCTTCACATGGCTGTGCATAACAAAGATTGTTCAATGTTCTCTTCCACACCAAGCATGGATTCTCTCTTCGTGGCATTTCACATATCATTCTGTCAGTTTTCATGATGAACCCACTTTCGGACTTTCTCAAAAAAGTCCATATCCGTAGACCCATTTAGGACAAAATTGTCGGTTGTCCTTCGTCCCGATTGCAATGGGATCCTTCCCCTGGTTTTCGTGGGGGTGTCGGGGTACATATATTCATCGTCAGACGGCCAGTCCCGTTGCAATGCCCGCTGAGAACTAGTATCCTCGTTGTCCGAGCTGAGGTCAATTATCTCTTGATGATGTACCGGTCCCGAGGAGGGTTCGGGAGAATCGTTTTCGGGGAACATCCCACTAGACAGCGTCTCATGTGTTGAGAACTTTCCATCATCTGATGTCTCGCTCATATCGCAGATCGTTATTGATCGAGACTCGTCCATGTATTCCGACTCTGAGGTCCATCCCGAGTCTTGGTCGGTCTCGGGCGGTTCGTAGTCTACATCAGAAATGCAGTCAGTTGAAAATGGCATACCTCGGGAAGTTGTCACAGGCGTCTTTTGGGGTGTCGGCCATGGAACCTCACTTTCAGAATCTGACAATTCCTCGGACAGGTAAGGTGGTGCACTTCGAAGACCACTGTGAAACAGAGCGGTCTCTTTCGCATATTTCCAACCCCATGATTTGGCAAATCTAGATGCTATGTTGTCCCAGTGGATCGTTGGAACGTCAAGAATAGTCAACAACTTTCCAAGTGTTCGACCGGACTGAAAAGGCGACTTTCTTTTTACCGCCAGCATGTCTCTCAACTTCTTATTGCAGCGTAGAAAGCTACGGATAAGAGCGGTTTGCAGCAAGCGAGCGACATCAGGGTGGGACTGTACGATTGTCTCGAGACTTGTGATTTCCACGCTGAAAGCAATTGCTTCAAGTGGGATACGGCCCCAGATGAGGTATTCTCCATATCCTTTCCAGCTGTAGGTGAAAGTCCTAGTCCGAATCGCAAGGGGATGGGCATAGAATACTTTTGTTTCTAGCTTCGAGGTGTCAATGACGGTCAGCATGGCGCTATTTTGATTAGCAATGGCACGGTGAAGTGGTGCCAAAGGAGAATGCGAGGTGGAAATGAATGGCGTTTTGACTTTTTCTTTGGTGACATGGCTTCGAAAGAAGCTCTCGAAACGGTCCTTAGGGAAGTCTTCATGGTCAAACCATTCACCGTTGCAGAAAAGCCCCGCTAGAAAACCGGTCTTCGAGTTGACTCCTTGCGAGCCACGGTTTGACCACCGAAACAGCAACGGTGGCATTTTGTCGGCGGGAACTCCTTTCATGGCCAGCTCATGGTCGTGGTGATAGTCTTGCTGGCCATGGTGGTGGCGGCTGCAGCCTTGGTGTTCTTGTTGTTGATCTCGGTCTTGATCTTGCTGTTCTCGATGTGATTCTTGAAGCTGTTGGCCTTGGGGATAATCCTGTTGGCCCCAATCTTGGTGCCCTTGGCAATTCTGGGACTGGTTTTCGTCGGGGATTTTGGGTTGGTCAAGATGAGTAGGCTGGGTCCAGTCATCGGGCCCATCTGTCTCATCAATTGCCAATCCATGCTCGCACCAGATACACGTCTTGCCATGACTAATAACAACAGCCTCATTGTTCTCCAGAGTGATGATATGTCCCGGCTCATCGGCCCATTCCTGACTCTTGTCGACACTCATTGTGATACTCTCACTTGATTGATCATCACTTTCGGCAAAATAGTGGCTTCTTTCCTCCGCTCTTCGCTGGTGCAGTGGAAACGATATGGGGCGGGGGGTCTGCGGGGGGGAATCAGCTCTCTGTCTCAAGGTCATTGCCACTCGCGTGCCCCATTGAGCAGTGTCGATGTCATCCTCTGTCTTCTCGATAAGAGGGAGACGTAGGGTCAATGCAGTGGACTTGATGCGTTGGATGACATCCCTCCATTCTCCGTCCATGTTGAACTCAGTGTTCCGATGGACATGCGACCAGATAAGATCGCCAGTGTTTCTCATCCAATTCCACTGTGTGTGGAGGGTTTTACCTGGAACAAATTGATGAATTCCATGTTTTCTCAGATTTTCGCGGAACATCGCGAAGAATATCTCCTCTTTCTGTTTCTTGTTGCATCGGAAAAACCGGTACAGACAACAAAGAGCTTGGCGCATTGGAACGTCCCATCTTAGCTTCGGTCTTTTGCTCGCCATTTTTATGGATGGTAAAGGCAGGGGAAAGGTCTTAGAGGAGTCACAAAACGGTGAGAGGTAACGTGTGTGAAGGATGGTGGCTTGTTCAAGATGACCGAGGACTTGACAAGAAGTGAGGGAAGGTCACGAGGGTGGGAAGAAGAGAAGAGAGAAGCAAAGTAAGAGGATTACAATAAAGGAGAAAGGGGGTTTGGGTACTTGGAAGGGAGAAGAGACAAATCTTAACCTCCAGCTCGTCCCTCGAACATTTTGAGAATAGAGATATCTTCGATCCCATGTATGCGACTGTGCCTTCTTCCACGAAGCTAACAAAGAGCGATGCCAGTTGATCATGTTATGTATCTCTCTTCAAAAATTACTTTCCATTACTTTCATCTTGGGATACGGTAGAAGTAGGAGATCCAACTGATCTAGGTACACATTTTGCCCATCTCGGACCGGACTAGGCAAATGTGTACAACGATATATAACTGTTTTCCTACCTAAAAAGGAATATGCATGCATATAATCGATTACCCTGGTGATCAGAATTGTATAGACCTTCCAAGGTTAGTTTTGGCTTATAACTGACTTGGTTCTAGCATAATCACTAAGTGGAGTATCACATATATAGTTCAAGTATGTAGCCCTAGATCTACACCTCAAATCATTAATATGTAGTCTTCTACTTGCCTAGTGGACTGTATTTTGGCTAAAATATCTCACTCTTTTTTCTTTTCATATAATTAAGATGATCCAAAAAAAAAAAAAAAAAGAAAGAAAGAAAGAAAGAAAAAACGGTTGCCTTGTTGCCTTGTCCAGTTTCCCTTAATTGTGCAAAGCACCTAAATGGATTGAAACGAGGTTACAAGATTTCGATAATATTTCCATAACTGATATCCTCAAAGCATTGTCATTTATTCATACTCCATATTGCCTATAAACTGCTATATATGATCTGATATATAAGTTTGATACAAGTATATAAGTAACATAGTTATACTACTCATATACTCCCCCGTGCACATGCCGAACTTCCAACATGCGCTAGTCCCGATTTGGGTTGCCTCTAGGAACATGCACTCCGCCCCAACTCCCTTTGCCCTCACCCTTGAGATTATCCTATTTGCTATCCTTAACCCTCAACTTACCTTTCAGTCTATATCACCTCTGTGGTTTTTACTTCTCGCCAATCCTTAACCCGCCTGCTCCGATCGGACTTTGGCCCCTCGTCCCTAGAAAACCACCCACTTTCCCCAGGCTTACAGCATGGCTCAATGAGCCACGTCATGAACGATACGGATGATTGAAGATTTTCTCGGATACCACAAGGGCATCGATTCTTGGAGCAGGCTCTCCAGTCTTTTCCCACTGTCTCCTGACAGACTTGCATTCTCCTGAGCCATTGAGAAGTTGGGCACCGATTCGCGACTTTCAACAAACAACATGCCCGGAGGATTTGAGAAGTCAGTAAAGGGGGCCACGAAGCTTAAGGTCAGTTTGAATGTTGAGCTTATTGTTTTCTACATGCGACAATTATTAACTATTTGACGTGAACAGCTTGCGGCCCCTAAATCCAAATACATAGAGAACATCCTTGTGGCGACTCATACCGGCGAGGCAGGAGTCGCAGAGGTATTCCGAACCCTCCAACTACGGCTCCGAGACTCGGCATGGACCATTGTTTTCAAGGCGCTCATCGTCCTCCATCTTATGATCCGAGAGGGTCAACTGGATGCTGCGCTGGGATACTTGTCCGATAACCCGAAGAAGATCGCGCCCAGCAATTTCTCTGAAGGTTAGACCGAGAGTTTCCTCATAGGGATGTGAGCGCATCTTACTGACTGTTTCTACAGCCCAATCGCAGGGACATAATATCCGACGATATGCCGAATACCTAATCACGCGTGCCAAGGCGTTTGAAGCCTGCAAGACGGATCATGTACGAAGCGGACCGGGACGGCTGAAGAGGATAGGTGTGGAGAAAGGACTATTGAGGGAGACAGAAATTGTACAGAAGCAAATTCGTGTGTTACTGCGCTGTGATGTAGGTGAATTCCGAATTTGGGCATTCTTTTTGGTGACTGACAGTGTATAGCTATTGACTGACGAGCCCGAGAACGAGATCAGTCTGACCGCGTTCCGTCTCCTCACGCTTGATCTATTGACTCTATATTCAGTCATGAATGAGGGCACGATCAATGTTTTAGGTAAGTCGGCAGGCCCTCCATTGGTCAGCGTTGGTCTAACCTTTGAACCCTAATAGAACACTACTTTGAGATGTCACGGCCGGATAGTATACGTGCCCTGGCAATCTATAAGACGTTCACGAAACAAACGGAAGAAGTGGTCCAGTTCTTGGGAGTGGCTAGACATTTCCAATCTGCTACTCGCTTGGAAATTCCGAAGCTCAAGCATGCCTCCACAGATCTGGCTCGCCTTCTCGAGGATGATCTCAATGATCCTGATTTCGATCTTCGCCGACGGGAATACTTGACCAAGAAAGGTGTAAGCATTCCACCGAGCATGGAAGCCAGTGCGACAGCAAATGTATCAAAGCCAATGCCGAACACACCGATGTCGAACCCGTCGGCGTCAAACCAGCCCAAGCAGGCCGAACAACAGAAGCCACCACCTGTGGACCTGATCGACTTTTTTGATTCAATTGAGCAGAACCAGCAGCCAATGGGACAACAGAACCCAGTGCAGTACCAGCAAACAGGGTTCCAACAGCAGCCACAGCAACCATTCTATCCCCAGCAGACTGGCTTCCAGCCACAGCCCCAGCCGGTCCAGCAGCAACCCCAGGCGATTCAACAGCAGCCTTTGGCTACTGGATATGCCCAGCCGACCCAATATGGAGCGCCTTATCAAGCACAGGGCCCAAACAATCCATTTGGGCAGCCGCAGCAGCAGCAACAGCCGCCGCCGCCACAGCCACTTCAAGCGATGCCAACTGGCGCTGGGTTCGGAGGGTACTCTCCCCAGCCGCAGTCGTATGGCTTCCAATCGCCATTGGCTCCTATTTCGCAGGAAGGAATTACCGCCTTCCCTCAACAACAACAGCAAGCACCTCAACCCTTGCAGTCCTTGCAGCCCCAGCACACCAATCCGTTCCGCCAGTCAATGATGCTCAACACTCCCACGGGCACTCAGCCACCCGCCGCTCCTCTGTCGCGACAGAACACGAACCCATTCGCGAGACGACTATCCTCAGCAAACACGCAATATAATGCCTCAAATGAGCAATTTCAGTCTGCGCAACCCCCGCCGCCCCTTCCTCAGCCACCGCAAGCGCAGCCGATCCAGCCTCAGCGGACGGGAACCAACCCTTTTGCGCGGGCCTCTCCTGCTCCGCAGCAAGGTCTGCAACCCCCTGCTGCTGCCCCCTGCGGCCTAACCCAACTGGCAGCACCAATCCTTTCCGACAGAGCCAGTTTATCAATCAGCAGACCGGACAAGGTTGGCAAAACAGCGGGCAGAGTGGTACAATGGGTGGATTAGAACAGCTGGACACGATGCCGGTCTTCCCGCGTCCTGGCATGACCTAAATTTATGGGCCCAACACCATTTGCATATGGCCTCGGAGTGAAACCGACGTCCGTTATTAGATTATCTTCTCGCGACTATCTCATTCGTTCTATCTCACTTGCTCCCCACATCGCCTCCACATTGAGTAGACCACAGATGTTGCCGTGTGAAACTAGCTCTTTGAATTACCCATATCGTATGCTGTACTCCGTACGTAATTCCCTTGGGAAGCCCTTCAGATCAGGCACTTGTACTCTAAAAAAAACAATTTTGTAAGAAGGTCAACAACATGGTCATCCACATAGTTTGAAACTTTTTAGTTGCACAGCCTCGGACTTATACGACGCCCACTAACTATAACAGATTCAAGGCTAGTGCTGACAGGGGAAAATCTTGACTCAACGTCTACGGTTTTTTTTTTTTGGCCGTTAGAAATATTTCGTCATGACCTCACAGGGGGACCAAAATGCAGATCATCGATATATGGGCTTATCCCCGTATATTTTAGGGTGTTTCACGAATACTAAGGTATATTACTTGAGATGATCATAGCAGATCACGATGTCGAGGTCTTTCCTGTAAACATATGTAAACATATGTTACCATTCTGTTTGTTTTTTTTTTTTTAAAAAAAACCACATGATCCCAGAAAGAACAAGCTCGGTGAATAATCCCATGTCTTCAAGGTCAAGTGGATATTGGGGACTTCCAAGGTTGGGACTTGTATTGTAGCCCTGGAAGGGGAGGTTGATTATTGTAATATCAAAAAGAACAAAGCATTAAATCCCCTGAATGACCTAAATTGCCTTCCCCTTAAAACAACATCTTAAAATAAACCTGTCAAATTCCACTAGAGCTCTTAGCGGGGGGCCGATGATTCTGCAATGTGAAGAATCCAAATTTCCTGTGATTTTCTACCCCGCCGGAAAGGAAGTTTGTCCTCTTCTAAATCCCTCCTTTCTTCTATGTAATGCCTCAAACATCCAGATAAGCTCGATGAACGCCAAGGACATCTTACCGGGTTACGAGCAGACCTTGCCCGTGCTGTCTCGGCCATCGGCTGCGGCTTGGACGGCCGATCCGATCCACTCCCCCTATGCAGCTCCCAGCCACTTCGATCCCAACTCTGTACAGACCGTGACCGAAGCACCGACAGCTCCTCCACTTCATCCTCCACCTCCTCCACCACCACCACCACCACCTCCTGCTCCTGCTCCTCCTACAGCCCCCAGTCGAAAAACAACCACTAGGGTACGCAAACCCCGCAAAAACAACAATGCATCTACGGGGAAATCGACGTTATTCTGGGTCAACAGTGATCAGCAAACGGCAGCGGCAGGCACAACCGATGAGACCCTAAAGCGGATTCGGTCCCATGTTATGTCTGAGCATAATCGCAAGAAGCGAATGGAGAGCACAGAACAGTACAATAAGAGCAAATGGAAGCACTCGTCTTATCAGCCCCCGACAACAAACCCCGGGGCACTCGT